CACCAAGGAGCATCTGCTGCCACCAGGAGCTCGCCTTGACTTTCTGCCCCGTGCAGGGACAGGGACCTGCCTTTCTGGGCTGCTGGACTTGCCAGCCAGGGAAAGGAGAGAGGACAACTGGAACCCATCATGAGATCTCCCACCCAAGCAGCAGAGAGCACAGGGATTGAGCAACCCAGAGGTATTTCAGTCTCGCTTTCAGCCTGGCTTTTAGCCTGGATGCCCCCGGGAGTTCAGCCCAAGAGAAACTCTGCCCTAACCCCGAGCTGTGGGTGACTTGGGATCAGCTCCTGGTCCCAGAGCTGCAAGTGCAGGGATTCCTTTGCCTGCTTTTCCAATCCTCCTCACCTAGCAATGCCAAACTCCTCTCGGAAACACGAGCTGCCACCCAGGAAATTCGGACAAATGCCGAATTCCATTTTACAGGTGGAAAAAACTGGAGCTTTGGGAGAGGAAATCACTTGCCTGAGGCCACATTTAAAATCACTGGCAGGGCCTGGACTGCAACCCAGGTCCTGCCTTGTGCTCTCCAACCCAGAATTGCTGCATGGCCACTTGGGGGAAAAAAAAAAAAGGGCACTAAATCTTTCCAGTTGCTGGGTTTTATATGCAGATTCTTATGCAAAACCTCCCTGGTTGTATAAATGGCTCCTGGCTTCTAATTAAGAGCTGCTTGAAAGTTAAATACTGTTGGCAGACCTGAATAATTTCTAATTTCCATCACACTTTCCCCGAATGACCCCTTAATAGGGATAATGCTGCGAGATCATTGCTTAGGAGTGTGTTATCTCCAGGAAATGCCGGGTGCAGGAGGGAGGAATGTTCTCAAGATGCTGCTTGTGAACATTCCCATCTGCAGCAGGTCCCCAGGGGGCTTGGAAAAGCCAGAGCCAACATTGCCCTCCTGTTATTCACTTGCATCTCCTCCTTCCCTGTTGTCCTGCTGGGAGTCTGGGGGTGTTGGAACTTCGTCTGGAGTTCTCAGCTTCCTTGGGAGCAGCCCCAACCCCCTCCCCAAGGGCTTTTGGTCTCTCTCCACTCTGTAATTTGGGGCATGGGCTGGAGGATGAGAGCAAAAGGCAGAACCCAGCTGGACTCACTGTCTGGAGTGGCGATTTTTAAATAAACATTAATTCCCAACAAATTAACTGCCGAGTTTTCAGCCCCTGCTGCCAGGCTATTCTTAGCCACTCAGCCAGGCTGGGCCCTCCACGAAGGGTTTTGCTTTGGTTTCTTATCAAGAGGCAAAAATTAGAAACAGCAGGAAACAGACTTTTTGCCCAGATGTGCAATTCTGTGCAGAGAGAGAGGGAAAAGCTGCCCCTGGCAGAGGAAAAGGCAGGTCTGGAGGTACCGAAACGGGAAACCCCGGCTGGGCCAGCCAAGGGGGGAAGTTTCCAAAGAGGGAAAGGTTTGGGAATCACCCCTGTAAAGCCAATCTTTTGGATTGGAAAGAGAGTAGGTTTAGAGGGGATAGTGGGAAGAAACTCTTCCCTGTGAGGGTGGGGAGGCCCTGGCACAGGGTGCCCAGGGAAGCTGTGGCTGCCCCATCCCTGGAAGTGTCCAAGAGCAGCCTGGGCTAGTGGAAGGTGTCCCTGTTTGTGGCAGGGGGTTGGAATAAGATGATCTTTAAGGTCTCTTCCAACCCAAACCATTCTGGGATTCTGGGATTTATTCAAGGGATTATATTTGGGAGCACAGGGAGAAGGGAGGGGCAGGATGGGTGGTGAACTGCACAGATCCAGTGCTGCCCATCCATGCTGACAGGGCTGGGATGAAATCCTGTCCCCTGCTCTCTCTCAGACACGGGACAGACCATAGGAAAGGCACATCAGGTTATTGCTTTGAAAACAACCACCAAAAAACCCCACAATACAGATCTCTGCAGCATTAACAGACACTGCCTGCTAAATCCCAGCAAGCCTAAATGACTGTGCAGTGGATTTAACAGGGGGATTATTAAAAGCCACACTTTCCCTACATGCAGCAAGCCCTCTGGTAGGCACATCAAAATGAAAGTGCTGTTTTCCAGCGCTTGTTTTCCAGGCAGGCTGGGAGGGGAGGGCCGGGGGTGATGTGGGATGCGGGAGGAATGCAGGACGCAGGGAGGGAAATTATTCTTATCAACAGAACTCGGCCCAGGAGAGCTGAGATATGCAAAAGGCTCGAGCTAATAAGCTGAGCAAACAGTGCTTAGAGGGCCATGGCCTGGCACAATTATGCAATGCCGGGTTCTTTGGTGCTGCAGGTTTGGTGGAGGGAAGCCCAGCAGGCAGGTGAGGAGCTCGGGGCCGGGGCCCTGCAGTGCAGCCTCGGGTCTCCCCACACACCCCCGGCTGGATTTAACCCCCTCCTTAAGAAATTGCACAATTATTGCAAAGTTCAGAGCGAAACTCTCGAGGCACTTACTCATACCCTGAACTATTCTGTTTTCCAAGCCCTCCAGCCCACTGGGAAGCACGGTTGGATGAGTTAATGCCGCGGCTCGTGCTGCATCCCCCCCTGGAGCGAGGACTCTCCCTGCAAAGTGTGGCTGTGATTCCTGGCTGGGATACAAAGGCCGTGGGAAGGACCACGTGCACCTTCAGGCATGGGAAAAACAAGTGCCACTGGGCTGCTGAGGGGTGTTGGATGCAGGGCACACGCAGGGAGCTGCTGTGCTGATCCGGCGGCTCCACAGCAAAGGTGTCACCGTGTCTGGGTCCCTTTGTGGCTGTGGAAAGCCACGGGGGAGAGAAATGCAGGTGGGTAGTGGACGTGGGGAGGGTGATTTTGGGGCAGTTGTTAAATGTGGCCCCTCTTCCCCAGAGCACTTTATCAGTGTAACTCAGCACAGCATCCTGTGAGCCGGCGACTGCCCAGCGTCACCTGGGACACCCAGAGTGTCCCTGTCCCCATCCCCACGTGCCTTCCCAGCCCTGAGCCTCCTGGAGCAGAGCTATTATTCCCACCAGACCCACCCCAGCTGTTGAAAATAGAAGCAGGAGCCCTGACTCACACTTCCCACCCTGCCTTGGAGCCTGCAGCAGTGCCCGAGGTGGGCAGCCCGTGTCCCCCTCCGTGCCCTGCCCGCTCCCTGCTCCCGTGCCATCCCTGGATGGGCACAGCGGGCTGGCAGCAGCTGCCTCCGCTGATTTACCAGCCTGAGAACCATTTTCCTTACATAATGCAGGGAGGCACGTTCAGGGATTCAGCTCCCAGAGGAGTTTCCCACCCGGCACGGCCCCGGTGGGTTCCGTTCGTCGCGCGCCAGGAGCGGAGGTACCAACCCCCCCCCGCGGGTCTCTCTGCCCCTCACCATCCTCCCCATCGCCTCACTCGGACCCCAAACAGCTGCCAGGACCTACCTCCATGGCGGGCAGCGCTGGGGTGCCCCGGGGCTAGTTGGCGTGGGTGGCTCGGCCGTGTCCCCGCGGCGATGCCCGGGCAGTGCCGGCTGCCATGGCCCGCTGCCCGGCCGGGGAGAGAGCAGCAGCTGATGGCAGCGAAGTTTTGGGGGGAGCAGCAGGGAGGGAGGAGGAGGAGGAGAAGGCTGAGGATGACCCCCCCTTGCAGCCCCCGGGCGCTGGGGGAGCGCGGGGACGGAGGCGATGGCTCCGCCGGGATTGCCGACTCAGGAAATCTGCCGGAGCTGTTTACAGCTCCCAGCGACTGGAGCTTTCAGGGCTGTAACGCAAAACCCCCCTCTCGTCCCCGTGCCGGGATATTCACACGCCTCCAGCCCCATGCGCTGCCCGGGCCCTGACGCAGGGGGTCGGGACGGGCTCCTGGCATCTGCTGTGTCACAGAGCAGCACGTACAGCCTGGGAGAGGCAGGGGGAGGGCATCCATCGGGGAAAAACCCCGGCGGAACAGGCACACGGGGAAAACACAGGCATTCTGCACGGAGCTGGGCAGCCAGAGGCAGCTAAATGGGAACCAGCCGCTCCTGCCGGGACCAGGAGGTGTCTTCACCCTCGGTGGGCACTGGATGGACCTGGATCTGTCCTCTCCCATGGAGGGAAAGGCACTGACCCGATTCTGCCACGGGAGAAGGTGCAAGGCACAGAAAACACACCCAGCTGGCTGACCAGATATAGGTGTTGGAGATTCACGTGCGATTCAAAAAGATATTCAATGAGATGTCTGAAAAGCAAGCGGGGACAGGCTCGGGCACAGCTGAAGCCAGTGGCAGTCTGGAGTCACCCCCTGGGCACTGGGCATTTATTCCTGGGCCAGCAGAGCTGCTGAGGAGCCAAAGGGCGAGAAGGAGACCTGGAGCTTGAATGTTTGAGTCACCCCAGACCCGTGGGGCTGCACAGAGCAGGGTTGATGGATCAGGCCTGGATAAGAGCCACTGAAGGAAGCAGAACTGAAGCCCAGAGCTGTGCCAGACCAAAGCTCTGCTGATGCTGAAACCTCAAACCCACTGTGGCCACAGACACGGGGCTAACTGGGACAGGTTCCTTTGCAGCTCTCTGCTTTAGTTATTCCTCAAAAAAAAAAAAAAGCAACGAGGCAACAAGAGCTTAGGGAGTATTTGCAGCTGCCCGTGGAGCGGAGCAGGCCGGAGCGATGAGCTGACCGTGACCTAGATCCATGTGTAATGGGGAAGCCTGTGCTGCTCCCACAGCTGAGCCAGCCCAGCACTGCTCAGCCTCGTGCCCTGCATGGCCTCCTGGGCTGTCCCACAGCCATCTGTGCCCTGCAAGTGCAGCCTGCCACGCTGGAGAGCAGTGCTGCACCCCGAGCTGTGGTGCTTGAGACCCCGCAGCCTTTAGCCTGGCAACGCCGGGCACTCCTGGACCAGCACTGGTGCCTGTGCTCCAGCTCTCCGGGCACCACTGGGT